TTTTCCTTCGGGACATTTTTATTCTCATGTTCATAACTAAACCTAAACATAAAAAATGCTGGCCTTATAATGAAGAAAGGGGCCTCTTTCAAAATAGATAATTTGAGGGCTGCTGGGTCAGGGGTACCAAGGGGGTACTTTGACTAAAAATAAATTAATGCTTTGAAATCTGCCCTTTGATAAGCAATGGTGCCTCTTTCAAAATTTGTGAATTTCATGGCTTTTGGCTTAAAACACGAACCAAATACAATCGCTGGAAAGTTGTTACATGATACTCAGGTGACCTATAAGGCCCGTGGGCCTCTTGTTTAAGTTGCATTACCCTGTATAAATGGCAGGTTTATGCATATAAGATTTACATGTAAAGTATTATCAATAATAAAGATCTGATGTGTATCCAGAGAAAGTAATGAAATTTATTCCTAGGAAGTTATTACAAATTTATAATGAGATGTGAAACTTAATTAAGTTTTGCTACTTGTTAAGATTTATTATCTGAATTTTAAAATTAAATTTGTTTTATAGCTAGAAATTATTTTACAAATAATAATTACACTTCGTATGCATAGCCACTATGATTAATGTTATTTTATTTAAAATATAGAATTCTTTGATTATCTAAATAATTTTTAAAACAGAAATTTCATAGTATTAAATCCTTTATAGTCAATAATATGCAAGTTATATTAATCAGAAATTACACTGCAAACTGTACACTGTAGAAGGCTTCTGCACATAAATATTTTAACTGATAGGTTAAAGTGGCTACCTGTACATGTACATATGTCAAAAGTAGAAATTGTGTAGAAATATAAACAACCCCTATTTTCTTCATTTATTTTTCATGTAGTGTCCTTTCCTCAGTATTTATAATTAGTTATGTTAGATAAATTTAGACTAAGCTTTTATAAAATATTAAAAAAGAAAAGAATGCACAGTAAAAATAATAGTAAGATTAATATTAACAGAACTTCTTTTAAAGCTTTTTCTTGTATATGCCCAAGTACAATGCATACAATTATTACACAATGTATATTTCATGTAACATATCAGGGGTAGACATACTAACTGGTGTCTTTGAATTACTTTGAACCACTCAGTTAAACTGAACACAGTTTATTTATAATTAGTCCACATGCACTGCCTGGTAGTGGGTTAGTTAATCTGCTTCTTTTTTTCTGGTGGACTGTAGTAGATGAAGGAACTTTGCCTTCATTAGCCACACCCATTGTAGAACAACCCAAGAAAGAGCGCCCAAAGAAAACCAGGAAGGAAGTTCTGAAGAAACTACCATCTCCAGTCAGGGTAAGGGGCTTCTTCAGAAAAAAATTAATTACAGGCTTTGTCAAGTAAAATATTGTCTTATTGATCTAAAGATTCAAAACTTTGTATTTATTTCAGGATTATACATTAATTGAATGTTCATATTTTGTTAAAAAAGAAAAATTAAAAATGAATAATTAAAAAAAGTCAATACATGTAAGTAATTTTTTTAAAGTTTCTGCAAAATGATCAGATTTGAATTTTGAAATTGAAAAGTGAGTTTGTACCCCTACAGAGCCTCACTCCCAAGTCTCCAGAACCTGTGGTTGAAGAGGTCCAGGTCACCCTTAAATCCAGAGAACCTACCCCTGAACATGTACCCACTCCCACCCCAAAGATTCCAGATCTACCCCCAGTGGACATACCACCCCTCCCTGAAATTACGGAGGAGAAAAAGGTATAAATGGGTCAGATATAACAGCTCTGTTAGAATCAAGGTAGAATTAGTTAAGATATAACAGCTATCCTTGAAATAGGAAAAAAAATTGTTAAGTAACAGTTCTCTTAGAAAAAGATTTTTAAAAATCCAGCAATTTTGATATATCCATAAAATGTAAAAAATAGTTCTAATTTCTCATTAAAAGTAAACTCCTTAAAAAAAATAAAAAATAATTCCAGTACAACTCCTAGAAATGTTGCATATTTTGATGAAAGATGCAATGTAAGATCTAAATAAATGTTCAAGTCTTTTATCTCTGTATTAGCTACTACTTATTTTTTCTTGCTTTTAGTTTTAGTGGTAAAAGTATGTACTTAATAAATTGTTATAACACATATGGTGTGAAGACACCCAGACAGATAAGGTTGAATTCTCTCTCTTCCTTTGTGTATCTCTATGTCGAATACCTCTCTTTTGTTCTTCAGGAGAAGAAACCCAAGGTTGACAACCGGAAACCCTTTGAGCCTATCCAGGTTATGCCACAAATTAAAGATGCCGTGCCTCCTCCCCCAAAGAAAAGCAAACCTCCAACTATCACAAAGTAAGTCACAGTCTTTAATAAAAGTACTTTATATCCTCAGATAAAGTTTTGTTACTTTCATTTTTTGCAGGTATGTTTTTTTAATCAATAACTTATTTGGTCTAGAATTAGAAATACATGTATTGGCAACTCTTTCAGAAAGTTCTGGATATACAACACTAACCACTGTATTTGCTCCATAAAGGGATTTTCACCTCAAAAAAATCTTTAGCATAAGTATCTATCATATACATCATCTCAAAATGTAAGACTTCACTAATTACCAGAAAGTACTCACTATGTTATATATGTTTGCTTTTCTATAATTCTATACTCATTTACTCCTTTGAAATCCACAGGAAATCTCTTCCAAAGAAGAGAGTTCCATCTGCAGAAGCACCTGTTACAACAGAGGAAATTCGACAGATGAAGGATCCTTTGGACTTCCTGGCTAAATACTGTATCATAAGGTGAAAAAATCTATAAGAATATTCACCTTAATGCAAAAAAAAAAAAATCATAAAATTTCACCATACTTGTTAACTTAAATGAAAGATGCATCTTGTATTGCTTTGAGTTGATTGCTTTGACAAACAGGAAAACATTATAAATCCCATATGTTGAATGTGAGAAATCTATGTAATTTTGTTGTATAAAATTTTTCTTCCCTTAAAGCAAGGATAGGCTGCCTTACTATGAGAGAATCTACAAGAATGTTGTGTCTAGTCAGCCTGAGAGGTACGAGCGGGCCCATCCCCTCTCCCCCACCACGGGGATGCCAGTCACAGAGGGGACCAGCTGGGGGAACCACGAACTGAACATGTTCCACGACCTTGTAGTGATTAGTCGAGGTCAGGACCCACCGCGTCCTGTAAGTAAAGGTCAAACTTAGCCATATCACATTGATATTATAGGAACTTAGTGGACCACTTAACATACAATATAGTTGAAGTTGACTGCATTTCCCCTGAGATTGAGATGAGGTTTGACTGTATTTCTGTTCCTTTTGAGAAAACAAGGATAGACTGTATTTCTGCTGAGTTTTGGATAACGGTGTTTGACTGTATTTCTGTTAAGTAGGGGATCACAAGGTATCACTGTATTTCTGCTGAGTTTGGGATAACGATGTTTTACTGTATTTCTGTTAAGAAGGGGATCACAAGGTATTACTGTATTTCTGCTGAGTTTGGGATGATGATGTTTGACTGTGTTGTGATTGCTTTTGTAGGCACTGAGTGAACCGGAGCAGTACCTAGAGAAGATCTGTTACACTCTGGAGATGTTGGACGGAAAACATCGACAACTGACCGAGGATCTTAACCTTCTGGAATGTAAGGCTTGACTAATCAACTAGGAAAGTTACAAATTCAAAGATATTTACAACAAGAGGCCCTGGGCAACATCACCTGAGCACTGTGGCTAGGAAAAAGTAGAATTGGTTTAGTATTGAAAAGTTTAAATCCAAAAGTAGTTCCATGACCAATCAGGGCTTTGCTATTCTTGAGAAGATGATTTTTAAAGAATTTTCTTATATATGTCTATGTAAAATTTGGTCGGCCATTTTGGCCCTGCCCTATCCGCCGGGGTCATGATTTGAACAAACTTGAATCCACATTACCTGAGGATGCTTCCATACAAATATGATCAATTATGGCTTTGTTATTCTTGAGAAGAAAATTTTTAAAGAATTTTCCTATCTACTTCTATGTGAAACTTTGGTCGGCCATTTTGTCCCTGCCCTATCCCCAGGGGTCATAATTTGAACACACTTGAATCTACACTACCTGAGGATGCTTCCATATAAATATGATCAATTATGGCTTTGTTATTTTTGAGAAGAAGATTTTTAAAGAATTTTCCTATATATTTCTATGTAAAACTTTGGTCGGCCAATTTGGCCCCTCCCTACCCCTGGGGGTCATGATTTGAACAAATTTGAATCTACAGTACCTGAGGATGTTTGCCCATAAGTTTCATCTTTCCTAGCACAGTGGTTCTTAAGAAGAAGATTTTTAAAACATGCCACCAAATTTTCATTAATTCCCAATTATCTCCCCTTGAATGAGGGCGTGGCCCTTCATTTGAACAAACTTGAATATCCTTCACCCAAGGATACCTTGCGGCAAGTTTGGTTGAAATTGGCCCAGCGGTTCTTGAGAAGAAGTCGAAAATGTGAAAAGGTTACAGACAGACGGACAGACAGACAGACTGATGCCGAACAAAATGTGATCAGAAAACCTCACTTGAGCCTTTGACTTGAAATTCAATATTTTGTATATCCAAACAAGACAATTATTCAGAAAAAATGCTCATTACGATACTGTAGAAGTACTTTTTTCCACGTGGTATTAATTTACGCTGTGTACGCGGTCACAAATTTTCCGCGGAAATTTGTCCAAGCGTACTAAATATAAATGTAAGGCATTTACTGACAGTCTAAGAAATCCGCGTAATTTTCTACCTGCGGATTAAACAGAAATTGAGATTCCGCGGAATTATGACCCTGTGGAAAAAAGTACGTCTACAGTATTCTTATTCGTAATTTTCATGTTTAAAACTATCTTTAGGTCAAATTATTATGCATATTTGTAATATTTTCAAATGATAATGAAAAAGGTAGTAAAATATTTCATTCTTGCAGCAAAAAGAATCCAACAGTTAGCTGAGAGAGCACGGAAACTAGTACCTGACATCACATCTGTCCATTTCAAGAAGAAAGAGAAAAAAAGCAAAAAGAAAAAGGTATCATCTCCAATATAAAATCAGCTAAAATTTAGATTATCCGCCTTTCTTATGAGTCCTGGATTATGTACAAGCATGGATATATAGCATTTCTTGGAGATGCATGTAGTAAAGTCTTTGGGGATTCAATATTACAAATATAGTGAATTGATTTTTTGTCCCATTATTTCTTGTGTTTTGTTCAAATATTTCATAAAATATCAGATTAATGTAACACCTCTGTGAATGTATTCAGTAGCTATACTTAATGAAAAAAATATGTATATGTCATGAATTTGCTGTATATTTAAAGAATTTATTGATATATCAAAGTATGTTATGTCCCTAGTACTTGGCAATGATTAAGGTTAAAGGTGAAGCCTTATGCATCCCATTGTATGATCGTTTGACCTCACATTTGGATTTTTTAGAAAAAGAAGAATAAGGTAGAACAGGAGGAAATTCCAGCCAAGGTCATTTTGTCCCGTGCTGACATCACTGATGATGTCATTGTCAGTAGAATTGATGACAAACTGCTCAAAAAGGTTGGTATCCATCAATTAGATGATATACTTGTGTGTTCTATAAAGTGCCTTTATAGCCTAGTGTTAAGCACTATTTACAAAACTTGATTGCGTGCACATGTATGTACTTATCTGAGACAAATGTTCATCCATATACTGTAAACCAACAATTATTCACATCAACTTTTAATCACAGTTTGTCAGTTTGAAATTCATGTAACTATGACCATTCATTTATGTGACTGAATGAACTTCTAAAATGACAAATACAAATGTACAGTGATTTATCAATGTTATACAAAGAGAGAGAAAGATCTTTTCATTTCTTTGTCTAAAATTGTTGATGTATATGTATATTTACCTTCTATACCAGCTTATGAAGGAGCCTGCTCAACACCAGCTAAACTGTGAGATAGAGAGATGTACAGAAAAATTAGCCAATATAGAGGACAGATTGATACAGCTAGAAGGTAAGGGCAGTAACTGTGTTTACTTTAAATTTATTTTTGGTGGTTTGAGATACTTTACATTATCTCAAAAATTTAAATATGATGACCACTACCCTCAAATTGTGGTGTGAAGTTTAAAACAAAAAAATATATATTAATCTTTTGTTCAGTTTCTGTCTTTTTGAGGGATTTTTGTATTTTTTACGAGATTTTTTTTTTGATCATTGTCTGAACATATTTTTCAGGTGAAAAGAACATTATAGGAATGTACTGCATGGAGCTGTTTTTTGAGGCCCAGAATGACAACAATAAACCCCGAGAATTCCGAAGGCAACAGAGTTTTCTGTATAAGACACTCCACCCAGATCCAGTAAGTATACAATGTACTTGAAAAGTAAAAAGTCATTTAGTTTAAATGAAAGTGTGGCAGATGAAAACTAGATCTGCTGGTCCTTTTTTATGCCTTGAAGTGAATATGTTTTGGACTCTCTGTTTTAATAAAAATCCAGTTCTTTGTAAGATTTTTACCTAATTTCTTTTTGATTTATCTTTTAGGATGTAGAAATGAATAAAGAGGAACTTGAAGGAGCTTTGCAGATTGTCAATCACAACTTGTTGTCACAGAATGAGTTTAGCTATCTGTACCATGTGAGTATGGTTACTTGTACAAATATGATACTATGTATTCTTTAATGAGAATCATTACAACCCCTACATACAAACTGGAGGGTAGATACAGAAATCACTATATTCATATGTTTATGGACTTAATTGGTTGGGGTATTTGTCAAGATCAGGGTTTTAGAAATCTAAAAATTTAGTCATGGCCATATTTTTAAAGCAAAAGGTTGGATGTGATTAGAGGATTATACCCAGTATTTAATGGCCATGTACTGTGGTCATTTGGACAAGATCAGTACCATTGTGTCAGAATTGTAAAGTAAATCATTTGGATTTAATGGGATATTAGTCTAAGGGGATATTAGTCTTATAAGGACAGTTTTAGACAACATTTTTGTGAAATAAACATATATAATTACAACTGATTTGTACAGTTATGTTATTAAATCAGAAAAGTGTTTTTTGTTATATTTTTCATCATCTTAAATCAATGGTTTTTCTCTGAAACTTGTGGTAAGATAACCTTTTTTACTCATGACTGCCCTTTTTTCTTCTAGATATTGAATTTGACAGGAAGGAGAAAGATAAACTTTAAGTTGTTCTGTGTGATAGCAGCCTTATCAGAGAGGATCACTCACATGGAGTAAGTGTAAATACTGGAGATATACTGAGTACATAGCTTGACTCTGTGACATGGTGATGTAAACAGTAATTTTAGTCAAGTAGAGACTTCCTCAATGTAGAACCCTGCTCACGACATAGACGCAGTTTTTATCTACCATGCCTTTCCATGAAGTATTTCTTTAAAAGTGAAATATTTATCTGAAATGAAGAATGACCTTTTTTCCTGTTTGAATTTTCTTAGGCAAAAATGATTTGAGAAAAATCATGTTTTCATGCAGTTTTAGTTGTATAAAAAATATTGGGATAGAGATGATAAGATTTGGGATTTTTTAAAATTTTATAACTTTATCCATGAGTTTGCAATTGTTTAAAGACAAATACATGCAATGTAGATAAATCACCAATGCAGTAATAGTTCATTTTTATTCCCTTCTTGTTTTAGTCCTGTTATTCGAGAGCTTCTAAACAAAGAGAAGGGCTGGAAAAGACAGAACAATGATTATGAATCTTTAGATGTTAGATTGAACAGGTCAAAGGTTGGTGGATTATTTCCTTGCATTACAAATTATTTTCCTGGAAAATTTTGCATCTTCCTATGCTAAAACCATGGTATTTGGGGGAAAAAAACCTTTGCTTTTCAATTTACATGTTTTTTTTCTTGATATGTCACTTGGAAATATATAAATTTCTGTATTAAGGTGTTGTCACTAAAAATGTAGCTAAAAATTGTGATTTTCTTACATTACTTGGCACAAACATAAGCCCAGTGCAAGTGTCCTTATATTGCACTTTCAAAGAAGTGTTTGAACGAATAAGCAATTTTCCGTTTCTTTTTATACCCGCACTTTCTAAAGAAAGTTCGGGTATATTGTTGTTACTCATGTCCGTCCGTCCGTCTGTCACACTTTTCTTCCCTGAACTCCTCTTACATTTTACACAGTAGCCTAATCATCTTTGGGGAGATGGTTGGTGGTGTCATGTAGATGTGCAGTAAGGTTTCGGAATTTTGATTTTGCCCCGGGGGGTCAAATGGGGGTCGAAAAATGACGTTTTTTATGCAAAAAGCCCCGTCTTCCCTGAACTCCTCTTACATTTTACACAGTAGCCTAATCATCTTTGGGTAGATGGTTGGTGGTGTCATGTAGATGTGCAGTAAGGTTTCGGAATTTTGATTTTGCCCCCGGGGGTCAAATGGGGGTCGAAAAATGACGTTTTTTATGCAAAAAGCCCCGTCTTCCCTGAACTCCTATTACATTTTGCAGAGTAGCCTAATCATCTTTGGGTAGATGGTTGGTGGTGTCATGTAGAAGTGCAGTAAGGTTTCGGAATTTTCATTTCGCCCCAGGGGGTCAAATGGGGGTCGAAAAATGATGTTTTTTATGCAAAAAGCCCTGTCTTCCCTGAACTTGACCTCTTACATTTTACACAGTAGCCTAATCATCTTTGGGTAGATGGTTGGTGGTGTCATGTAGATGTGCAGTAAGGTTTCGGAATTTTGATTTTGCCCCGGGGGGTCAAATGGGGGTCGAAAATGACGTTTTTTATGCAAATAGCCCCGTCTTCCCTGAACTCCTCTTACATTTTACACAGTAGCCTAATCATCTTTAGGGAGATGGTTGGTGGTGTCATGTAGATGTGCAGTAAGGTTTTGGAATTTTGATTTTGCCCCGGGGGTCAAATGGGGGTCGAAAAATGACGTTTTTTATGCAAAAAGCCCCGTCTTCCTTGAACTCCTATTACATTTTACACAGTAGCCTAATCATCTTTGGGGAGATGGTTGGTGGTGTCATGTAGATGTGCTGTAAGGTTTAGGAATTTTGATTTTGCCCCGGGGGGTCAAATGGGGGTCGAAAAATGACGTTTTTTATGCAAAAAGCCCCGTCTTCCCTGAACTCTTCTTACATTTTACACAGTAGTCTAATCATCTTTGGGGAGATGGTTGGTGGTGTCATGTAGATGTGCACTAAGGTTTAGGAATTTTGATTTTGCCCCGGGGGGTCAAATGGGGGTCGAAAAATGACGTTTTTTATGCAAAAAGTCCCGTCTTCCCTGAAGTCCTCTTACATTTTACACAGTAGCCTAATCATCTTTGGGGAAATGGTTGGTGGTGTCATGTAGATGTGCTGTAAGGTTTAGGAATTTTGATTTTGCCCCGGGGGGTCAAATGGGGGTCGAAAAATGACGTTTTTTATGCAAAAAGCCCCGTCTTCCCTGAACTCTTCTTACATTTTACACAGTAGTCTAATCATCTTTGGGGAGATGGTTGGTGGTGTCATGTAGATGTGCACTAAGGTTTAGGAATTTTGATTTTGCCCCTGGGGGTCAAATGGGGGTGGAAAAATGACGTTTTTTATGCAAAAAGCCCCGTCTTCCCTGAACTCTTCTTACATTTTACACAGTAGTCTAATCATCTTTGGGGAGATGGTTGGTGGTGTCATGTATAGATATGCAGTAAGGTTTAGGAATGTTTAATGTCTAATTGTGGCCTGACCTAGCCTTTGAGGTTATGATTTGAAAAACTAGAAATATGTCTATAGGACATGAATGTCCCACTGGATGTATATTACCCATGCTACAGGAAAATTTGTATTAGCGTATTAAGTTTGTTGAAAATATCTTGAACAGTTTCTTTAGAATTGAAACTAAAATCTAAATATAAATTTGATATATATTATAAATCCTCACCAAATTATGTATAAGTGCATGCTAAACATAAACATAGGTAATCAGAGATTACAGAGCTCACCTCAACGAATGTTGTCTTTAAATAAGGCAAAGTCACACAATTAACCAACAAAAAATGTACATTCCAAAAATGAAAATATCTAAGCAATTTTGATCTGATACTTTGAAGTAGACCAACATAAAAAATTGAAAGTAGTTCTTCTTCATGAAAATGTAATTCAGCATCTAAAGCAAATTTGAGTTTTCATCTCTTGATGCAACATTTGTGCAAGTTTGGTTTATACAATGTTATAAAAGCCTTAAAGTTTTTTGGTAAAAGACCTGCAACCATAACTTTAACCTGGTCTATTATCTGAAAAATATATATGTCGAATTCAGCATCCGAAGCAAGCCCGGTAGTATCCATCCTTAGATGTATTGTCCATGCAAGTTTGCACATTATAAGGCTCATAGTTAATTGGAAATGAAACATACATCAAAAACTAACATTTTCACTCATCCACAAAATGTAGGTCAGATTCAGCATCCGAAGCAAGCCTGGTAGTATGCATCCTAAGATGTATCATCCATGCAAGATTGGTCATTAAAGAACTCATAGTTACTTGGAAATGAAACCTGCACCAAAAACTTTTACTTGTTCACTCAACCGGAAAATGTAGGTCAGATTCAGCATCCGAAGCAAGCCCGGTAGTGTGCATCCTTAGATTTATCATCCATGCAAGTTTGGTCAACATAGGGCTTAAAGTTACTTGCAAATGAAACCTGCTCTAAAAATTTTAACCTGTTCACTCAGCTGGAAAATGTAGGTCAGATTCAGCATCCGAAGCAAGCCCGGTAGTATGCATCCTTAGATGTATCATCCATGCAAGTTTGGTCAACATAGGGCTTATAGTTACTTGGAAATGAAACCTGCACCAAAAACTTTAACCTGTTCACTCAACCGGAAAATGTAGGTCAGATTCAGCATCCGAAGCAAGCCTGGTAGTATCCATCCTTAGATGTATCATCCATGCAAGTTTGGTCAACATAGGACTTACAGATACTTGGAAATGAAACCTGCACCAAAAACTTTAACCTGTTCACTCAACCGGAAAATGTAGGTCAGATTCAGCATCCGAAGCAAGCCTGGTTGTATCCATCCTTAGATGTATTATCCATGCAAGTTTGGTCAACATAGGACTTACAGATACTTGGAAATGAAACCTGCACCAAATAACTTTAACCTGTTCGCTCTACCGGAAAAAGTAGGTCAGATTCAGCATCCGAAGCAAGCCCGGTAGTATGCATCCTTAGATGTATCATCCATGCAAGTTTGGTTAACATAGGGCTTATAGTTACTTGGAAATGAAACCTACACCAAAAACTGCACCAAAAATGTTAACCTGCTCCAAAAACATTAACCTGGTCATTCCTTTGCTAAAATTGCAGCATCTGAAACTTTGACTGGTACAATGAAACACACTAGAACCATCTTCCATGCATGTCTAATCAATATAGGACATAGAAGTACTTAAAAAAAGAAAACTGCTCCAAAAAACTTAACCTTAACCCGGGACGCCGACACCGACGCCGATGCCGAGGGTATTACATAAGCTCCCCCAACTTCGTTGAGGTGAGCTAAAAATGTCTTAAATTATTTCTTTAAAACTAAGCGAAATACAAATTGAAAAGGATGGAGGTCAAGGTCAGAGGAATGTGCAAGGTGAAGTTTTTGATGAAGTTATCAGCATATTATGTTTGATAAAAATATCTTGAATGATTTAATGAAA